CCAGTCAAACTGAAATTATATACGGGACCAGCAGTTGGCGTAATGGCTGTGTTGCTGGACTCCCATGTAGTCAACTGTGGTTCGAGTCTCGGACCTGGTAGCTTAAACTCATGCCGTGCGCGAGTGCATGTGTGCCCAAGATCCCGAGAGGAGAATGGAGGAGAAAGGATTGTGGCGTGGCCATCCCCCCTGGGACGGTGATTTTTTGCTTTTTGTCTCTCTGTTTCTCTCAGTCTTTCTGGCGAGCACATATGTCCTATAACAAAAAACCTCTCCAAAAAAAAAAAAAAGAAGAAAAAAAAATTATATACGTTATCATCAACAGAATTACATACATGATTAAAAAGCTGCCACCAAAGAGAATTCCTGTGTTTATAATCTAATACCCAAAACAGTTCAATTTTATGGATAATATAGCTCAATGGTCATCAACCAGGAGCAAATTTATGACCAGTGGACAACTGTAACTATGTGGACACTTGGGACATAATAACTGAGGAATGACTTCTGCTACAGGAATCTAGTAGGTAGAAGACACGGATTCCTCAATATCTTTTAATCACAGGAAAGTGCCCTCCAAAAAAGAATTATCTAGCTCAAACCTCAGGAGTGCTGACGTTAAGCAATCCTGTTCTAAGTGATCTGATGTTTATGATAAAAAAAGATAACCATGGGACCAGCAGTTAGCGTAATGGCTATGTCGCTGGACTCCCATGTAGTCGACCGTGGTTCGAGTCCTGGACCCGGTGGCTTAAACTCACGTCAGGCGCGTGTGCGTGCGTGCCCAAGATCCCGAGAGGAGAATGGAAGAGAAGGGATTGTGGCGTGGCCATCTTCCCTGGGGGGTGATTTCTCGCTTTCTGTCTCTCTGTCTCTCTGTCTGTCTGGTGAGTGCACGCGCCCTATAGCAAAAACCTGTCCAAAAAAAGAAAAAAAAATATGATAGTATTTTTCCTTTTTTTCTGTTTACAGATTTGCTGAATTTTAAATCTTGAGCATCTTAAGACTTTTCATTTGCTATAAAGAAACAAGTCTAAAACGAATGAATAATTTATTATCTTTAAATAAACTCTTTAATGTATGAAGACTTAAACATCTCTGTGAGCAGATATACCTTTTTGTCCTTCTATATATGCTTCAAAATATTTAATCTCTGTATCTTGTATAAGTAAAAAATTTTAAACAGTAACAGAGAATAACAAGATGAGATGAAAATTCACTTTGAAATTAACAAAGAGCATCAATGTACTTTACCATTCACATTGGTGCTTTTAGGACTGGAGTCCCATTCATCTTCAGGAGGAGGAGGAAGTTCAAGAGGTAGTTCCGAGTCCACAATGGGGACCATCTCTGCCTGTTCTGTGATTTCTTTTAGCACAGAAAATACATAATTAAAGTTTAACTTTACAAAACACATGAATTAAAATTTGGTTTAAAAGATTCATTCCTATCTTCAAAGGTTTCTAAGAAAACAAAATAGCAGTAGTAGAAAGACCAAATATAAGACATTTAAATCACATTAGTTCATCCAGCTTTTCTAAAACTATTTATATTGATTGATAATACATTGCATCAAGCCAGAAAACTATAATGTTAATTATATTTAGAAACCTTCTATCTGGCATATATGGGAAATATCTAGGAAAATATGAGACATTTAGGATCAGAAGTGATGCAGAACAAATAAAACTAAAATTTTTACTTTCCTGAAAATGACATAGGATATTTGGATTAAAAAAAAAAATACCTGGAGGTTGCTCAGCGTCTGCAGCATTGGACATTGTGGATTTTTATTTTTGATGATTTCTTTGTCCCAGTTCTGAAGAAAGGTCCACAAAGATGTTTGCAAGGTGAATGAAGTGGTATTTCCGCCTACTTTTGTCCTAAAATTGTTAAGTCCAGAGCTAGCTTCTGGTGAAGCAGCTGCTTATAGTTGCATGATAGTAACTTACTTTAATGAAAACCACAGAGGAAATGTGAACTGGCAACTGGAATATACATCTAACAGGCTTTCGAAAATATAAAATGTCCCTATTCAAGAATGTGCAACAAGCCTTTTAATAGCATCTGGTTTGTACAGGGCATATTCTATCATTCTGGAAATAACATCCTTAATTAGGTGAACCCCGTCATCAAGAAAAATTATAATCAAGTATTCTAGAGTAGCAATTCCTGTTAAGTGTATAGTGAAAGAAGAAGTAAGATATATGGAAAACAAAGACTGAATCAGAAGAACAAGATAAGGAACAACACTGGAAATAACAGATAATTTGTATAGCAATGATGGGTAATAGTCTATGAAATGGCATTTGGTAATAGAAATCAGATATTAAAATCTACCTATCCATACATTGACAGTTTGGCTCTTAGTGACCCCCATCCTCCCCATAACACACACATGCACTCACCTTTTCTCAAGTAAAACCAAGTTCTATTCATAGAAGTATAATCGGATAACCACTAGAGACTTTATATTTTGCTACTTCTTTGACTCATAAACAGAGCGTGATATTTAATGGGTAGAAGTAGATACTGCAGATAAATAAAAATAGACACAAGGCTCTTTTCTATTAGAATTATCACCTCATAGAAGCCAATATGTATTTGACCCAATTTGGTTGAAACCACAAAGAATACCTGAGATATAAGTAGTGTATTAAATTTTTTATTCTTCTATATCTATTTCAGATCAAATGGTCTTGTAAGTAACCCTTAACATATTAAATATTACCCTTTGATGAATGAAATATAAGGATGGTTGACTAAAAGTATATACACATACATGTAAGTAATATTAAAACTTTATTATTCAGTCCAAGATTTCAGTGAAGTCAGAAATAAGGGGATCATAGGTTTAATTTAAAAATTCTACATAATTGACTTTCTGGTTATATTGTAATTCATTTTTATTTGGTTTATTTTATAACCTAAAATATTATAATCTGATTGTATTTCTTTTTTTTTTTTATTGAGAGGTTTTTGCTATAGGACACATGTGCTCGCCAGAAAGACAGAGAGATAGAAAGCGAGAAATCACCCCACTAGGGGATGGCCACACCACAATCCCTTCTTCTCCATTCTCCTCTTGGGATCTTGGACACACATGCACACAAACCCGGTGTAAGTTTAAGCCACCGGGTCCAAGACTCGAACCATGGTCGGCTACATGGGAGTTCAGCAACATAGCCATTACGCTAACTGCTGATCCCTTTCATTAAGTTTCCATGAATTAAGATTCAGATAGTATAAGTGGAAAGGAAAAAAGGAATTAATTCTTAATATTTGAATACCACAGATAATAAAAAGTATAAAAATTATTATATGAACATACACATTTTCCTATTCATGGATGCATTCATTCTATTAGGATGAAATAATCTTATAGCCTTGTAATATGATTAACTACCTCTGTACTAAAGTAGTTATATGTCTATACATTTAAATGAAAGGGTTATTTCTTTCATTTTGTTTTTATTTATTGATATCATAATTGTACATATTTAAGGGACATGAAGTGACATTTTGATACATGTATACATTAGGCAATAACCAAGTCACTGTGGCAGTGTGGTTTGCATATTCATGACCATAAACATTTACTATTTCTTTATTATGAGAATATTAAAAATTATCTGGGAGCAGCAGTTGGCGTAATGACTATGTTTCTGGACTCTCATGTTTTTGACCGTGGTTCGAGTCCCAGACCTGGTGGCTTAAACTCACACTGGGCGTGTGTGCGTGCCTGCCCAAGATCCTGAGAAGAGAATGGAGGAGAAGGGATTGCAGCATGGCCATCCCTTCTGGGGGGTGATTTCTCTCTGTCTCTCTGTCTCTCTCTGTCTTTCTGGTGAGCACATGTTCCCTATAGTAAAAACCTTTCCCCAAAAAAATCTCTTTTCTGGCTATTTGAAATATCATGTATTATTGTTATCTGTATTTGCCATACTCTGGATTAAAGTACTATTCCTCCTATTTAACTGCAATACTGTATCCCTAACTAGCATCTCACTATCTCCCCTTTCCCTTTTTTCTCCCCAGTCTCTGGTGATCTTCTAAGATACCAAATTTTTTTTTAGATTTTACATATGAGTGAGATCATGCCATATATTTTTTCCTGTGCCTGACTTATTTCACTCAAGATAATATCCTCCAGGCTCATCCATATTGTTGCAAATGACAGAATTTCATTCTTTTTATGGCTAAACACTCTCCTTGTGTGTGTATGCATGTGTGTCACATTTTCCATATTTGTTCATCTATTAATAAGCATTTAGGTTCATTACATATCTTTGCTATTATTATCATTAGTGCTGTAATGAACATGAAAATGCATTGATCTCCTTAACATATTGATCCCTTTTCCTTTGGATAAATGTACACAGTAGTGGGATTGCTGAATTAAATAGTAAATCTATATTTAATTTCAAAGAACCTCAATATTATATTCAACAATGGTTGTAATAACTTACATTCCCACCAAGAACATATTTTATTTTTTTTATAATCTCATGAGATTTATAATTTTTTTTTTCTTTTTGATAACAGCCATTCTTACTGGGATGAGATGATATCTCATTAGGGCTTTATTTTGCATTTGCCTGATAGTGATGGCAAGCATTTTTTCACATACTTGTTTACCATTTGTATGTCTTTCTTGGAGAAAAGTCTTCTGTTCCCTTTTAAATAAGATTATTCTTTTCTTGTTTTGCTATTGAGTTCCTCATAAAGTCTGAATGCTCACTGTTTGTCAGATATGTAAATGCAAATATTTTCTCCCATTCCATGGGTTGTTTCTTCACCCTGTTTCGTTTGTTGTGCAAGCCTTAGTTTGCTATAATCCCATTTGTTTATTCTTGCTTGCTTCTTCTCATATTCTTTAGGTATTATCTAAAGAAAATCTTTGCCCAGATCAATGTAATATAGCATTTGTCCTATTTTTATTTATTTATTTATTTTAGTTTTTTTAGCTTATTTGTTTGAGTTGTAATCTATTTTTTGAGATTTTTTGTTTGTTTAATGTAGTGAAGTGAACCACGTAGTTGAAGAAATCTTATAATAGTAATAAAAACAGCATGGTATTGACATGAAAACAGGTGTAATAATCAATGAACGAAATAGAGATCCCAGAAATAAATTAACGTATTTACAGACAACTCATTTTTGACAAAGGTACCAAGAACATACAATGGGGGAAAGACAGTCTCTTCAAACTAAAGAGAAAACTTTTTAAAGAATAAGCTAGAAAGAAGGTTCTATATGTTTTGTTTAGGGGTAAAAAGTAATGAGTATTTATAATTCTATATTTAAAAAGAAAAGAAGGAAGATAAGGAAAAAGAAGAAAAATAGAAATTAAAAAAAGAAAAAACAATATATACAAACTACCCAGTCATATGGGTATAGAAAATTATTTATATTGATCATCATAGACAAGAGATAAAAAGGTTAGTCTTTTATTTATTGCTAGGCCTCATAGTAATATGTTACAATTATTATGGTTTTAAGGACATTCTTACGGACAGAGGAGAGTTTAAAAAAATGTAGTGATATCACATAAGAAGAAAATTCATATTGTAGGCAAATAGCTATCTCAGAGAATATTCATTGTAGAGTTATCTTGGGAACCAGAAATATTAGAAAACAAGTGTTTTATAAATGGGAAACTGGTTAATCTCTTTCAATATTACAAAATACTATGCATCCAATATAATCACGCCATTGAAGTTTTACTTATTGACACAGAGATATATTTATGTAGATAAATTAATTGAATAATAGGACTAGGTAAAATAAAAATATATGTAACTTAAAAGTTTAAGAATGGTGGAAAGGAAATGGAAGTGTCTGTGTTAAAAATGCCATCAGTAGTTGCCACTTTGCAATATGTCATGGTTATTGTTTATCTTCTTTGTGCTCTAGTATATTTTAAAATTTTTTTATAAGGAGTATGATTTAAATTTGTAAAATTATAATACAACAAGTATTAATTAAAATGTTTAAGAAATAGAAAGTCAGCAATATCATCCATAGATTTTTATATCACTACAGGTTTAATTTGCAATTTTAATCTATTAATATATTTCTCCCTTTTCATTTGTAATTCAAAGCTGTGGGCCAGCAGGTGGGGTGGAGGGTAAGGCAGCAGAATTCTACATGGCTGACTGTGCAGTTTGAGTTCTGGACTCAGTAACTTGTAAAACATACCAGGTACCTGTGCATGTGTGCCCAGAGTCCTGAGAGCAAAATGGAGGAGAAGGAATTGTAGCAAGGTCATGCCCGCCACAGGGTGATTTCTCACTTTCCCTCTATCTGTATCTGGTAAGCACACACACCCTGTAACAGTACTTAAAAAAAAAAAAAAATTCAAAGCTGTCTAGCATACGTGTTCTATGTCTCCTTTGCCTTTTTATATTTAATAATGGCTATTTATATTCAGTTCAGAATGTCGTATCTTGGAATCTGTTAATTCTAATGTATGTAATACATACATTTATAAATCCCCAGAGTAGAATTTCTTGCTTTCTGATTGAGAATCTACCTCCTTTTGTACTTTGAGCATGGATGTGCTCAAGTCTGGCATGTTCTCAAACTTCCAGGTCCAGGACTTGAGCTACACAGTTAGCCATGTGGAATTCAGCTCCTTTCACCACCAAACCACAGGCTGGTGCTTCCACAACTTTCTGAAGTTCCTTTTATTAAAAATTGTAACTATTAATTTGTCTGTTCCAACCAGACTTACAATTAACTTTAAATTTGAGTAATCCTGAATTATTTCTCTTAAAATTAATGAGATAATTAGAAATCTCACTTTTATCTCTGATGCATTTCTTTGATAACATGGCAAACTCTTAATAAAATTTCTCTTGATGCTCTGATTATACCATTTTATTATTTGTCATAAAACAAAATATGCATGGTTATCATTCCTTTCATTTGATTTTAATCTTACTAGGTTTTCATAAAATTTTTTCTGTGTAGTAATATAAAGTTTC